TTAAGGTATGACTGCTATGGCCACATAGGGATTCCGGCTATGGTGCCAGGCTCCACACTTATCATAGAAGTCTATCTCGGAAAAGTTAATAGTAATAATCTCATTTAGTGCTTAACACTCAATGCGTTTATTGAAACCATTCACACTTACTTTCAGTTCATTCTTCCCGCTCTTTTATGTTTGCTTACGTCACTTCCAGTCACGTTAATTCCAATGACGTCATGTGTCTACTTCTGATGACGTCATCTTTTGTTCATCCATTGATTTCTTTTAGATTCACACAGTGAGTCTATCCTCTTTGTATCCTGCTTTAAGTTATATTTTCGCTTCCTCCCACCCTTCCCTTTGCTAGCCATCTCTTTCTTCTTTCTGTTGACATATTGCACATTATTGGCAAAGGGCTTGTAATGTCTATGTATATATGCCTGTGTCAATAAATGTTAGGGAATGGCCTGGATCTTGTGGGCTGCAATCATTAATACTTAGGCAATATTCAAAATTATGGCAGGACGGCTCTTCAGCCGAATCTGTTTAACCCTTCTGCTTCTCAGCGGATAGGAATCTTTTGGCTTTGCCTTATTATTGTCTGCTTTTCAGCAGAAATGCGATTGCTCTATTTGCTGCTGGCAACATTGTTGCCCATTGCTGCTGCTGGCAACATTGTTGCCCATTGCTGCTGCTGCTGCTGCTGCTGGCAACTGTAGTTGCCCATCCTAACATACTCATTGTTTATTAGGGCAGCCCACAGATCAGCCTCACCTCTGACCTTGAACCCAATATTCTCTTCTTGTTATCTTTTAATGCTTTCCTTCTCAAGGCATATATAAGTATCTTCTTGCTAAAGGATGTGTTTCAATAATATAAAACAACAACTTTTACCCGGGGTGATAGTATTATGGAATCCCCAGAACCATGGTCGTCAACGTTACCGTATCATCATACAACCGGACCCCTCAACGGGTTCTATAACCCCCTCAATAACCCCCTCCTATGGGGCTATTGTGACCGCAGAGTTACCTATTAAATTCTCACCTATTCTCCTACATGAGGATTTATACCTTATAAGCCTCAAGTACGTTGATCGACTGTTAACTGAAGCCCAATTAAAAAATATCTCATAAGATATATTATAGGCACACAGGATGGGGCTGTACCCAGTCGTAGAGGAAGTAGCGAAGACACTGGAAACCGTAGACGGGTTCCGCTTGAGGCAGTTATGCGATGTAAAATGCCAACTAGAACAAGACCGCGACACGCGTAAAGCACTATGTAAGAAGTACCATAGAGCTTTCAACATCGTGGACGGGGCTGACACTGCACTTATGGCAACCAGCATGGGGCTGGGGGCGGCAGGTGTTGGGTTGTTAGATACCATCGTGGCTGCCCCCGTAGTGTTAGGCATTGAAATAACAGCTGGGGTGGCAGGGGTGTTAGGGTTTGCGCTTAAGTTTGCATCCCGCAGACTGCATCGTAAGGCATTGAAACACGACGAGATCAGGGTTCTGGCCGAAGCAAAGCTGAACACAGTAAGTGAGCGTATTTCCACGGCACTTACTGACAGTAAGATCTCCGAGGAGGAGTTTCGTTCAATCCTCTCTGAACTCACAAAATATAACATCGAGGTCAACGCGACATAGTGCCCCAGGATAGACCCGTTAAACCAACATACTTCAGCCATGTCCCCGGTAGCTCAGTCGAGTACGCGGCGCGGACATGTGGAGTTCGTATCCCGCTAGCGTCCCAAACTTTTTTATAGTAGGGGTAATGGTAGCAAGAGCTAAGGGTCCGACCAAAGCCTTATTTGGGAAATAAGGCTTTGCAGAGGCTTTTGTTGGACCTGGTCCAAAACCCCCATTGTATATACTACTGCTATATGTTCTCACAATCTACTGTCATTTAATTTTTCTCCTGCTTTGCCTAGTTTCCGAGTTACAACTTGTTTTCATAGACGATTCTGTCAAAATCGATTGGTGTCGTTAGGCCCTATTTGTATAATGACTGATCCAAATTGATCCCATTTCTGTGTTTTTTTACCTCAATATTTAATCATGTCATGTAAAAATCTGTTTGTATTCTCAAAACAGTGTCGTCGGCCCATAAGTTTTCACATGCAATACAGCAATTAATACTCCCTTTGTTGTAACCCCTGTTAGGTGGTATAAACCTACACATGTTATTTGTCATCATTCACTTGATGGTCAGTTAATGAATTTATAACAGGTATAATTAGTGGTAACACACTTAGATTACCCGACAAAGGTTCCCATTTGGCATTTCTTGTGTCTGGAGTAAATGTTCAACATTATAAACATCGATCAAAGGATTAACCGATAACACGCTGATTGATTAATAACTTTTATCTTACACAGCGAATTGTCAAAAGGTAGTGTTTAATGTATGTAGATTTACTAATCTATACTGAATACACTCTGCCGTACGGTGGGTGTCTGGCGAAAACAACGCCCTTCTTCAAAGGATTAACCGACAATACATTGATTGATTGCCCATTATTGGCTAACTAAATTACTGTTTTTGAAGAAATACGGACATTATGCAATTAGTTGCCAGGTGTGCTATCTTGGGTGATTAATGATACTATACACCAATACCTGAAAAGATTTATCACTTTTTCGATATATTAAACTGTTAAAAGACACATCATTTGGAACAGTTTTGATATTGATTGATACATTCCTCAAACAAGGTAATGGCCTGATATTGTTCCTATAACTTTAATCTGTTTTAATTTTTAATATTTACATTTTGGTTTTATTCATTGTCGTAGCATTCAACAGAATCATTGTTTTCGCCGTGAAGTGTAATGAGACAGACAACATACACTAGGTGTAATGTGCTAAATTATGATTCACATTGGCAAACTATAAAATGTCTAGATATTACAGTTCTGTTATAAATTCACTATAAGTATCAGCAGATCGTCTGCTTTTTATTTAGTTTCAAAATGCATACAAAGTATGATAATAAACTAATTAGGATTATAAGACCAAATATAAAGACGCACATTGACTAGTATCTACATACTGGTGAGTGGACATTAACCATGTGAATGTAGCAAGAAATTTATCGCGCCAGTATTGTGACTTCGACCCCACCACGCTCGCCCGTGGAAGAAATCGTTATGTTATAAGTTGTGTCATGCAAAATCCGTTTGGTTATGATTCCAATACATGACGACCACGACAGTAGAAAGTAGTTTTGATTTTCTAACTTGATGAAAACAAACTATAATCTCATTAATTCTAACAGACTTCACGATTTTTAAAATGGATGGGCGCGCTTCTGTCGGGAACATCCGCCAGTCTGAGGATAAATGCTATTTAGGTTTGTTTTCACGAAGTTGAAAAATCAAACTATTTCTTCTGACTGGTAATAAATATATTTTTGATGATGGCCAATAGGATTTTGCATGACATTTCTGCATAACATAACAATTTCTCCTCCTGGCAGCGAGAGGTGGAGTGTCAATATAATACTACTTACAATATTATTGTTACTCGACCACAACCTTACTTCGAGGAAGAAATCGCTATGTTACAAGTGGTGTCATGGAAAATCTTTATGGTCATCAATCATATACATATTTACTACAACTAGTAAGTAGTTTTGATTCTTTAACTTCCGTGAAGCCATCTGAACACAAGTAAGATATCGTTTCAGGCTTCCACAACGCTGGCTTTCGCTCTCACAAACATAACCCATTTAGCACACTTAACTGCGGGTCCCTGTGGAAATCTGTGCATGGTGACACCATCGGCCCACCCACTTTATAGGAGCAATTGGCGACAAAGCAACGATTCTGCATGTCATCGTTGAGGTAAAATCATTAAAACGATGAGCGTGCTACACACTTTCTATACAACTAACTGAAAATCGTTCCTCATATGACGTCACTGCAGTGCTCTGGCGACAGAGTTACGTAACCTGTCTGTGGTTTCGTTGACGGGCGCGAGAGGGAAGCAGGCGACTTTTTGGCCACTTTTAATCGCTCGGTATTCATTAACCACAAGTTTTTAAAGAATAAATTTGGTGTTCCGCATAAGACTAACCACAAATCTTTCATATGTAAAGGTTAAAAGAGTAACAAAAAACAAAGTTTATTGGTTCTTTAAGGACAACCAGATTCTTTCATTTTACAATAGTTAACCTGTTATGACCTGGCATTTGCTTTGTAAACTATTATCCTTTTTCTTAGGTCTGCATGGTATTACCAGCCAGCCTTTACTGAACCTCTCCCCTTTACTTCATGGAGAAACATTTACTTGCCCAAAAAAATCTGAGAAAAACATAGATCATGCCATCAAATTTTGAGAGAGATAGTAGTAACACTGGACCTGATTATAGTGATGTTCGACACCATTCTGAGTCAGTGCACACGAATAAGACAGGGAGCAAGAGCCATCACTGGTGAAAAGTTGATAAAAATGTAAAATTATGAAGTAAAAAATGTTGTCACTACAATGACAATGCAAATGGAAACATTCCCTCTTAAAATGATAATTATTTTGGTATTACAGTACTACTATAGTAGTAGTATTATTATAAGATATTTATATAGCGCACATATCCACACACGCAGCCAGTGCATGCTCAAGGCGCTGGTATTTTTCCCCTCGATCATTGGATGTCAATCTCGACAGCACATCGTATTATCAATCTCAACTCCCTGGGAGTATACAACTCTTTCTGCCACTAGGCACGCCGAGTTATTGTGGCTTTCTCATCCTAACGAGGTACCCATTCACAGCTGGATGGACTGGGACACATAGTCACAGTACTTGTCCAAGTTCACTGCATGTTGCTGTACCCACAACTAGGTGTTTGCACACATATTCACGTGGTCATAGACTCACACAATTTGTGTAAGGTATGTCCCTGAAAATGTGTCATTGGATTTTGCTGGCATTTCAAAGTTGTTTCAACAGCTGTTGGCGACTACATAGTTTCTACTGTGAATTAAATAATTGATGTTGTTCTTCCAGACAAACCACCAAAGATTACGGAACCAGAGGCATCACAGACTTTTGATGTTAGCACAACTGATGATGCACCGTTTGTCTTAGAATGCAAGGCGGAAGGGGAACCTAAACCCCAGTATGTAATTCAGTATTGCAATAATTATCCCCTCAACTCGGGTCCTCAAGGCGCCCGCCAGTCCGTCCCGTCCGCGTAATATTTGTCTTTTCCGGAGCAGAACTCTAAAACCTGCTCAATATTCACCAAACTTGGCACATACATGGATCTGGTGGTGTACTGGTGCCTTTTGGTAGTTTTGGAATTCTGAATAAAATATTTTTGGCGCTTCCATGGCAAACAAGTTCGACTTTGACTGAAATTGGTGGTAGTGCTCTTTTCCGGACCATAACTCTAAAACTGTTCAATATTTCTTCACCAAACTTGGCACATAGATAGATCTGGTGGTGTACTGGTGCCTTTTGGTAGTTTTGGAAATCTTGAATAAAATATTTTTGACGCTTCCATGGCAACAAGTTTGACTTTAGCCATGAAATTGTGGTAGTGTTTTTCCGGAGCAGAACTCTAAAACTGTTCACTATTTCTTCACCAAACTTGGCACATAGATTGGTCTGGTGGTGTACTGGTGCCTTTTGGTAGTTTGGAATTCTGAATAAAATATTTTTGGCATTTCCATGGCAACAAGTTTGACTGAAATTGGTGATAGTGCTGCTTTCTGGAGCAGAACTTTAAAAACCTTCCACTTTTCTATATACACACCTAAATATTTGACATAATCATAACTCGTAGACATAATCATGAAGAGTATTTTGCCATTGCGGGGGATATTGATGACTTTGTCCTCTTGTTGAAATTCTTTCATCCTATGTAATTTCAAGTGTGTTCAGTGATAAGACAGTATTGTAACAGATTCGAATCCAGTCGCAATACCCAAATGTTTGCAATTAATTCTTAAATATGACTTCAATGAGTCAATAAAGTGGGTCTCAGGGTCAATGGATGACGATTCGGTCATCAGTTCATGATTGCTGAGAATAGTGTGAAATTGGTGCAATCGCGGTAGGAGCGAAAAGCGAACCCTCACCAACATTGTAAGCGGAAGTTGTACACACATGGAATGAGATGAAATAAGCATGCCATTTCACACACGCTTTCACGGATGTTACTGTCAACAGTTTTTAATGAATAAAAATGGGACCAAATTTAATCGTATGAAATGGAATCGAGGAAGATTCAGGGGGAAATGGTTTTCTTGTGCCAAACGCGGTGTGTTACATCACAGCAAACATCATAATTACTATGCTGATAGCATGTCTTTATTATAAAGTTGTCTTTTAGAAGTTAGTACGATTTTCGCTATTCATGTGATCTAAAGCATCTGAAAAACCATAATGCGAGGATATGTACAATGAAAACTTTTATTTTTCCTTATCCTGACTCATGCTATTATTGCTTGTCTTCTTCTTCTTCCGAACACAGTGGAACACTTGTATCTCCCTAATTGAAGCTCCCTTCAATGTAAAATCACTAATTAGTACTCACCAAGGGGTGCCTCCCTCTTAGCCAATTGCGCGGGAACGGAGGCGCCACCTCTGCCCACATGTATCACTCTCTCCTTCTTAGCCCAGTGAGCAGGATGTGAGAGCGCCTGTGTCTCCCTACACTTTATATCCTTTGATTATTCTTAGTTAATTACCTCTTATAGTCATCTATAGAGGTTTAGCTAGTATCCTTTCAACATTATGTATTGATTCGTGTTTCTACTGTTTATTCACGGGACGCCGTGATTGTTCAGTAGATTACATTGATGAAAATCTGTACTGGTTGCAGGTTACGTTTTTCTGCTGCTGATCCGCATTAATATGTCCTAGCTATACTGGGCCATGTTCATTTTCTTCACGTTGCAGTTGCTGTACTAATTTATCCAATTCTGCCTTTAATAAATATTAACTTTGCGTTTTTTGAGACGCGCAGCAGATAGGTCATGTAAGCAGAGTTTAGCCTTGGCTAATACACCTGAACCCTCGCCAGTCAACTGCTGTCAGATCTACCCCTCCCGCCTTGGTGTTCGCTAGAGTTACCCTCGAGGAGAGGTGTGGGACTCAGTCCGCCGTCTCCAAGAAGCGACCTGCATTCCCAGACATCCCGTCGTCGCAGCCAAAGACTAAGAGGGCTTCTACTTCATCTCAACGCAGACTCCGCACCCCCAGGGCAGCGTCCATGTCCAAGGGGATAGCGACGAAGTCTACTAGAACTTTCTCAGCCAAGATTGTTCCCGCCACAGAATTGGGCCTGTATGATGATCAACCGTTCATCATACCCGATGTACATTGGAAGATACGACCAGTGTCGGCAACAGTGACGTCAGCGCAGATCAGCACGCAGTCCGATGTACCAACGCTGATGTCCGTTGATTTTCCTGAGGGTCCCGTCGCTACCAACGCTGAGAAGGCAGCAACTACTGCATCGCAGACCGTCCCAGACGATCTGATGCGTCAGATTATGTAGATGATGTAAGACTGCTACGGTCTGGAGAGGCAACCAGCCTCGAGCCTTCGCGAAGGCTCCAACGTAGACATCACATCAGAGGGACCCCCCCGTCAGTGAAGCGTTTGCTATGAAGCCATCATCGAGGAAGCCACCTTCACGGTTAGGTCGCCACAGCCCACCTCCACCGGCGACCCAGATGTCCAGCATTCGGCAAGGCAAGGCCTTCGGCGAAGGACAACTAGATCACCACCCCTACCTGGGACGCCGATGATCAACGCTCACGAAGAGGTTCGCAAAGGAAGATCCTGACATCATTGAACCCAGCCTTCGTGAAGGCCTTCGCGAAGGTCAAGTCGTCACTTCCCATGACTGGACTAAGATGAAGCTTTGCGACAGGTCTTCGTGAAGAGCACCAGTTACAGACTTCTAATCTTTTTTGTCTAGAAGGTCTTTGAGGGATTCACCGAGAGCTTCGCGAAGCTATCAACGTTCACCACATTGATCTCCGCGAAGGTAACAATACAGACGCAGCTTGTCACGCCACGTCGATTTCCTCGCCGGTCTCCACGTCGATCTCTTCATCGTTCATATCGTAGATCTACTCTCAGATGCGGAATCAATGTTCGCGAAAAGGCATTCATGGAAGGCTTAATTCTTCCATCATCTTCGACATAGAATCAGACGACACTACAGTGTCTGTCTACATTCACAAGCGTTCGCGGAGAACCAGTCACCACCCACCCAAGTACGGACTCAGATGAGCCTTCGCAAAGCTCTTCATGAAGGATATCAGCTACAGTTTACAAGACATTTTCGTCCCATACATCGTAGAGGATTCACTAGGACCTTTATGCGGTTATAGGTCACCCTACAAGCACAGTTCGTCGGGCTATTCACCACGCCGATCCCTCGCCGATTATACACAGGTATCCAGCGGCAGAGACATCGCAGTACTTGTCTATCAACTGCACGCCACATGCCGCCTACAAGCTTCACGCTAAGGCATTCAAGACAGGCCATTTACAACGCAGAAACGCCGCAGTATTTATATTGTCAACAGAACGCTTATATGTCATTACGAGCTCTGCGCCAAGGCATTCGCATTGCAGACATCCACAAGACAGAGACGCCGCAGTACTTTAACTTTTAACAGAACGCTATATAAGTTACGCCAAGTACTATTTACAGATGAAGAGCCTAAATAAGGATCTTCAGGCCGACTGCCTACATCAAGGGCATCAACGACGCTTCAGAGATCATCACAGGAATCACCATTTCGTGATATATTGCCAGGTAGGCAATCCCGGACTACGAAAACGATTATCTACATGCAAGGCCATACAGTCACACCAAGTTGACCACTATGCAGATGACTACGCAGATCGCCAAGATTATACAACTAGGACATGATATAGCATCATCCTAGAATGGAAATATCTTCTTCGTACACAGATGGAAGATAGATAATACACTACAAGAGAGATATTTTGGTGTCTGCAATTCATCACTAGCATGGATCCATCAGTCGAATCCAGGATGGGATTCACATAGATTGATATATCTACATTAGTAGATTTATGACATCATAGAGATCTTTCACGCTTCGACAGATCTGCAGACAATTTCAATAACTAAATTGAGCAGAAGCCTTGCTACAGCGAAAACATAATCGCTAATCCATTTCCTGAGAGAGAAAATGTACTGTGTAAGTTCAGCATTATTTCTACAGTTATGACGCTGCATTAATGTATGCAGTCTACAAGCTGACAACGCATAAGTTTTATTGAGCCAATATATATGACGACGGCATTATCTTCAAGACTGAAGTTACATTCACAGCAGCCAGGAAAATAACCTACCCAGCATTGATATTACAGGGCTTATGTATTTCTCATGGCCAAATATTTGCTATGCTTACCATTAACCCTCTACACACGCGGTCACTCGCGTGTAACTTCGAGAGTTACAGACAAGACCGACGCATTGATTAAATATCAACGTCGCACTAGATTATACAAGGTTCCTTTTCCTGCTACACCGCGACATCACAGCGCGGGTACACTACAGAATCAAAATGCCTTGTTCTGATTGGACCGCGAGGGGCAATGCCCTACGCAGAGGTCGGTCATAGTTCACAGTTCAAGACATGGGTTGCAAGTGACAACAACATGTCAGTGAACGAGCAACGCCTCCATTACAGTTCAGTTAAACTGGACCTTCATGGTTCGGCTGCCTTCATGGGGTTAGAGACCTCCCCTGTCAATTAAGGACGAGGGCACGGCAGTCAGGCGTTTTTACATAAATCTCAACCATAGCAGTCACAGAGTCGACCATCGCTTCATGTCCTTACAGACATATATAGGATATAGATACAAGTTCTTGTATCTCAAGCACTACTCTCTCCGTTTTTACTACGGAGTGGTGGAATCTGTTGGCGCATCTCTATGGGTAAGCATCTCTCCTAGAGTGGGAGCACACCTTGACAACAATATGTCAGCTGTGATATGGACCATAGCAGACACGATCTGCACTTCCACAGGCTGGAAATGAAAGCAGTAATAAACACCACACTTCACCGGAGCCGCTTTTTTATAAATGCTCATCTAACGGTACACACAGTCACCTCTTAC